CGCATTCGGATCTGACGTCGGCAGGGGGCGGAAAGTTCCCCAGCACAGAGGGAGCCCAGCGTTGGAGAAAGGTAAGTGGTTGAAGGAGTTTTAACCCCTTCAGCCCAGCGGGAGGGGGGCCCTGAGGGTGGGAGGACCTAATGACCCTATAGTGCTCCTTTAATAGAGGATTATTTCATGGGCTGCTCTACTAGATAGTGGCTTTATAAATCATTAAAATAATTCAGACATGGTTCCTCTGCCATAGAATGGAGGACAACAGACATTACTTTTTATCAATATTGGGGTCTGACTGGATTAGTGAGTTACCGAATTCTAGGCTACAAGATTGTGGGATGTTTGTTATGTTACCCAAGATGAGATTGGAAACTCTTTACATGTATTTTAGCTAAGTGGGTTAGAGTGGTGCCGATTCTGGGACTAGTTGGTAATCGCCAACATGGCTGCTGTTTTTATGCTGCAAAATCTAACATTCGTAATTAACATCCGAGAAAGGTTTTAATATCTCCTACATCGATTAATAGGAAACAGTAAACGATAAGTAACATATATAACAAATGGGTAAAAATTACTACCAGTCACCATCAGTATGAAAATTACATCTGCGTCATCTAAATGTAAAGAGGAAAAGAAGAGTAACCCCCTGCAAACTCTTACTATATCCTATAAAAAAATAACACATTTATTCTATGTTTAAGTATGTTTAAAAGGATACTCCACTGCCCAAGTACAAAATAAATAAAAATCACTGTTTGGTAAATACACCCCAAACAAAAACTTGCATGCATCTTGCACAACCTGCAGATCTCTTGTCTGCAGCCTTGAAAGCCCTCCCCTTCTAACCCCGCCCAGACTTTCTGTGACTGTCCAATCACAGACTTCCCAGTGCAGCTCAATGAGAAGTCTTTGCAAGGCAGGTGCTCTGGGCTATTTGCTGTTTTGTTGATTCATGTTCAGTTTCCAAAATGGTAAATTGCTGCATGGCTTGTCGGATGCTGGTGGGTGACCTTTCTTCAGGATTTATTCAAGTATTGGTCAAAAGATTATTCATAAACAATTCCCATTCTGGCCTTCATCAGATTAGAGGAACATAAATGTGAGAACATAATAATTAGCTTTAAGTCATCAGAAATAATCACCCCTAAATACCTTTCCTAACCTCAACAATTGAGGAAAGGGATTTAGGGGTGATTATTTCTGATGACTTAAAGGTAGGCAGACAATGTAATAGAGCAGCAGGAAATGCTAGCAGAATGCTTGGTTGTATAGGGAGAGGTATTAGCAGTAGAAAGAGGGAAGTGCTCATGCCATTGTACAGAACACTGGTGAGACCTCACTTGGAGTATTGTACACAGTACTGGAGACCGTATCTTCAGAAGGATATTGATACCTTAGAGAGGGTTCAGAGAAGGGCTACTAAACTGGTTCATGGATTGCGGGATAAAACTTACCAGGAAAGGTTAAAGGATCTTAACATGTATAGCTTGGAGGAAAGACGAGACAGGGGGGATATGATAGAAACATTTAAATATATAAAGGGAATCAACACAGTAAAGGAGGAGACTATATTTAAAAGAAGAAAAACTACCACAACAAGAGGACATAGTCTTAAATTAGAGGGACAAAGGTTTAAAAATAATATCAGGAAGTATTACTTTACTGAGAGGGTAGTGGATGCATGGAATAGCCTTCCAGCTGAAGTGGTAGAGGTTAACACAGTAAAGGAGTTTAAGCATGCGTGGGATAGGCATAAGGCTATCCTAACTATAAGATAAGGCCAGGGACTAATGAAAGTATTTAGAAAATTGGGCAGACTAGATGGGCCGACTGGTTCTTATCTGCCGTCACATTCTATGTTTCTATTAGAGCAAATATAAGACTGCCCTCTGTAATTCAAAGGATGGCAAATTTGGTTAATTTCCACAAACTTTAGAGATAAATTAACACATATGAAATCATTTCTTTTAAATTTGCTCCATACAATCAAAGCCTACATGACAAGACATCTAAAGAATAATCCCACCAATTGTCCAAATATCAGGCGTTTATGTTATTTATGTTCTCAGAGAGAGGGTTTTGTATTGCACCTTATTACGGAGGTAAATGATGAGTTAATAATGTAGGTAGATTTTACTATGCTGCCCAGCACGTTCTGTGCTGATACATAATACCGTCTGTCTAGTGTTAAAAATGGATTCTCCCCTGCAGAATATAAAGGGAGCTTTTAAATAAGTAAAGCGGTCTTTTCATTGCAGTGTCTGCGTGGGAATAGCTTGCAGGTAACGCAGGAATGCCTCTAATAGTCTGCATGCATCTTCTGATGTTTTGCGCTCCGTTCATTACTGCACTTCAGGAGACAAAATGGATCAGCTCTAGCTCAATCTATAAGACAGGGACAGGTCCATGTATTAATAGCTTCTATCTTTTCAACCGGCCAAACACCAACACTTGTGCCTTAGGCCATTACATTACTGACAATGTTTTACCTAACGAGAGCTATTCTTGGTCATTTAGAGCAAAAATTATATATTTTATTTTCACAAACAAAAATTAGGAAATATTACTGCAGCTGAAACAAAGAGTACTGTTCGCAGAGTTCTGTGGAGCTCTGTGATACACTTACACACTGCAAATTACAGTGAGTTTTATTACTGTGGAGCTCTGTGATACACTTACACACTGTAAATTACAGTGAGTTTTATTACTGTGGAGCTCTGTGATACACTTACACACTGCAAATTACAGTGAGTTTTATTACTGTGGAGCTCTGTGATACACTTACACACTGCAAATTACAGTGAGTTTTATTACTGTGGGGCTCTGTGATACACTTACACACTGCAAATTACAGTGAGTTTTATTACTGTGGAGCTCTGTGATACACTCAGACACTGAAACTTACAGTGAGTTTTATTACTGTGGAGCTCTGTGATACAATCATACACACTGCATATTACTGTGAGTTTTATGGCTGGGAGCTCTGTGATGCACATTACTGTGAGTTCTATGGCTGGGAGCTCTGTGATGCACATTACTGTGAGTTCTATGGCTGGGAGCTCTGTGGTGCACATTACTGTGAGTTCTATGGCTGGGAGCTCTGTGATGCACATTACTGTGAGTTCTATGGCTGGGAGCTCTGTGATGCACATTACTGTGAGTTCTGTGGCTCTGTGATGCACATTACTGTGAGTTCTATGGCTGGAGTTCTGTGATGCATATTACTGTGAGTTCTATGGCTGGGAGCTCTGTGATGCACATTACTTGAGTTCTATGGCTGGGAGCTCTGTGGTGCACATTACTGTGAGTTCTATGGCTGGGAGCTCTGTGATGCACATTACTGTGAGTTCTACGGCTGGGAGCTCTGTGATGCACATTACTGTGAGTTCTATGGCTGGGAGCTCTGTGATGCACATTACTGTGAGTTCTATGGCTGGGAGCTCTGTGGAGTGAGTTCTATGTCTGGGAGCTCTGTGATGCACATTACTGTGAGTTCTGTGGCTGTGAGTTCTGTGATGCATATTACTGTGAGTTCTATGGCTGGGAGCTCTGTGATGCACATTACTTGAGTTCTATGGCTGGGAGCTCTGTGGTGCACATTACTGTGAGTTCTATGGCTGGGAGCTCTGTGATGCACATTACTGTGAGTTCTACGGCTGGGAGCTCTGTGATGCACATTACTGTGAGTTCTATGGCTGGGAGCTCTGTGATGCACATTACTGTGAGTTCTATGGCTGGGAGCTCTGTGGTGCACATTACTGTGAGTTCTATGAGCTGTGGAGTGAGTTCTATGGCTGGGAGCTCTGTGATGCACATTACTGTGAGTTCTATGGCTGGGAGCTCTGTGGTGCACATTACTGTGAGTTCTATGGCTGGGAGCTCTGTGATGCACATTACTGTGAGTTCTATGGCTGGGAGCTCTGTGATGCACATTACTGTGAGTTCTATGGCTGGGAGCTCTGTGATGCACATTACTATCGCCATGAAACTCTGATAAACAAATCCACCTGAAATATTTTGAGTAAAGTGATATCCCAGGATGGAGTGATAAAAACAGGCAGAAGGAAACACTAACTTTTCATGTCTGCTCTGTTCAGCTCCATATAATAGGGGCAATCAGCCTGTCAAGCAGCAATGTGCCACAATGGATCCACTTCACAAGTCCCAGCAAGAGACAGGCCTCCTATTACAGCAAAACACATCTCCAGGACATCACTGCCAAAAATGAAAAAGTCTTTATTTTTTACCCTAAAAAAAGAGAAAAACCTTTTCAGAGCAATGTTTACGATGTGTTTGTGAAACTGTTAAGCAGTGACGTTGTGTTGTTACTTATTGTTAAGGGCACTAGGTTTCGTCGACGATTCACCTGCGATAAAGGAGGAAGTGGAAGAGACCATAGAGAGATACTAAGGAGAAAGCTGGGCTCTGGAATGGAGGCATCCTATCACCTTAAGACGCGGAGCTGCCTGTTTGAGTGTGTGCATGCTCTGTGATAGTCTGAGAGGTGATGTGAGGTTCTGCCTTTGAGTCTGTGCAATGTAGCAGATAAGACGGATCTCTATAGCCTGGGGGATTTCCTGAGGCCGCGGCAGACCAGCACGATGCACAGTTACATTGGAATCTAGCTTGTATTTCTAACACTTGCCTCAGGACGCCCTGAGCTCTGAATACCACTTCACAGGGGCTGTCACAGCTAACATATTGAACCTTTAGGGGTCTGTCTAGCATGCCCCCCTCTTCCCTGCATTTAAGGACGTCTTGCAGCTGGGATTTGTAAGTTCTCAAGGCTGTTCAATACTGATGCGGTAGAATACGTTCTACATCCTCCTGCGATTATGCCTCTTGTTTGCCATCGATGCTGAGCGCAGAACATCTTATTAGGGAAATATCAGCCATCGTACTACAAGCCGCTGCTGTCTGAATGCTATCACAAAAGCGAACACAGGAGGACAACACATCTCAAGTACTCCAGAGAGAGAGAGCTACTGCCTGGGGCCTCAGGCCTGCAACGCTCAGTTCTGGATTGATGGGTTAAGTGGGCTGCTGCTGTGTCATCACACAGCTCTGGGTCCAAAGTAGAACTGACGAAACAATCAGAATTCTTAAAGTGAACCTGTCATGTAAATTATAACCATAGCTAAATGCCACCCAGTACATTGAATACATCGTATATCAGAGATGCTAACACAATGTATAGTTGTTGTCTATTTAATAACATTAATGATAGTTTTTGTGTATTATGACCGTTACATTTTAAACAACAATACCACTTTAGAGACATGAAATATAGGCTCACTTGCCAACAACGATGCAAACGCTATTCTATAACGTGGCTGCCAATTTGGGGACTTACCCTCCGACATAGGGACACATGGACACCTGTGTGATATGCAAAAGACAACACAAAGCCATACTTTTTCACCAAAGAGTCCCTTATGCTAAACTGACAACCCAGTTGCTAAATTTTGGCTAAGAATTGGTATAAATCCAATAAACTAATAAAAATGCTTTATGAACCAGTTTACAGTAGATATTCAAGTATTAAAATGCCTGAGAAAATAACCCAAAACACATCAATGTGACACAAACAAGATTACGCAATAGGGAGACTTACGTTACCAATGGGTAGTTCGCAAACTGTAATAATAAAATCTCAGTTATTCCTGGAATATTTAGAAAGCTTTACAGTCGTAATAAATTGAATGTGGAGAAAAACGTTTTACATTGCATCCGTTCATGGATGTGAAGACCCTAACAATCAAAGGAAATCATTAGAGAAGTTTAAAAAAAGGTTACTTGCGATGTTTTTTTATTCACAACTCATTTATTATCATTTTCTGAAACCCACACATTAACATTTCACTCCACATTATCAATTAAGCACGATTGCAACGTTTTAGCCTTGTGGCTGTCTGACGCTTTCGATGTACTTCTGAAGTGGAAACCTTCCCAAAGTTTTTGTACTGGGCAAAGCTGGAGTTTCTAAGAGTGTGGGGCCCGTTCTGTGAAGAAGGGGCCACGAACAATCAAGCAAGGCAGACCTGGCAAGGGTGCCTCCTTTCACCAGGGCTGTATGGAGGCACTTTGCATTGTTACACTAAATTAAACAGGGGCCTCCTGATTGTCTGCGAAAGGATTAACCTTTCCATTGATCGAAAACATGACCAGGCAGCAAACGTACATCAAGTGGGTGAATGGAGTATCTCTCTGTGTTATTTGGAAGGAGAAGCTCTAAACAGTTCAAAAGGTAAAACTATTTCCTTTGAAAACTGGTTTGAATTGTAAATTAATTCCAAGATTAAGTGGTACAACTGCGGCCGGATAAGTACCAGGTCTACATTATGCTATTGTACGGCTGAGCTGCTAAAAATTTTAATATTTTAATATCCTCTTAAATAATTAATACTTTAAAATTATCAACTGGCAGAGACCGCTGTCTCTATGGGATGTGGCAGACAGTTCTTGAACATTTAAAGACCCACAGACGCTGCAAATCTGAATAATCCTCTCTTTTGGAAGTTTCTGCCATCAGGACTCTTGTCTCGTCTACTGAAAACGTCAGAAAGCAGGAGACACATTGAGATGTTACACTTGCAATAAATGTGGTCTGCAACTAATAAACGCCTCTGTAAATTTTATCTAGTACCCCACCAACTGTGTTCCTCCCATGAAGCTTATTAAGTCTTTGGCCGCCTAGGCATCATGAGAGGAAGTCCAAAAAAGTTCCAGATGCTCGGTACCTGTGACAGGGCTTGTAGTCCGTGCAAAACAGTGTAGAAAATACAGCTCTCTATCTGGGATCACAAGAGTTCTCTGCTGTCAGAACATGTACAACGCTGCAAAATATGTTGGTGCTTTATAAATAAATAATCGTGATAGGCTGTGAACACCAGGCTGCCAAGATCATTGTCTTCATATGTGTTTTCTACAGCCAGGTCCTGACAGCGATAACCCATCTGACACCCGACTCTACACAAAACTGGCTTTATTGGAAAATCAAAATAGTCGTGTGTTTGTTTAATGTTTCATCTCCTGGTTTGCATCATCAATTATTTCTCAGAGAAAGTGTCAAACGTATGATGTGCTAATGTTATAAAGAGGAAATAACTGGCAGAATTAGATTTTTAAAAAGTGTTTGAGTTTCCGTCACTGTTATTTGTGGCCAATCAGAAGTCTTTGGTCACAGACAGACTGAGAAATCCTGGATACATTGTATGGTTATATCATCTCGCTTGTGCAGTGTTGTTAAATAATGGGATTCATATATTGTACTCCTGAGCAAAAAGGTGGGTTTGGGATTGTTGCAACATTTTTAGAAAGTCAAAACATCACCAAGTCCACTGGCTGGCTAAACTGGACAGCCACCAAATCTAATTCAAGGTGACATGTTTCATTTCTATATTTCTTTAATTTCTGAGGAATTAATTTTATTTTGTACTGCGGTTTCCATATAAATGGCAAAACTTGTAGCTAGATCTACAGATAAGAACATAGATTACAGACCTTAAATTGGTAATCAATTGGGACAGAGGAATACGTTGTCAGAGGCCTAACTCATATAACCAGCAACCCCTATACCAGGCTGGTCTGCCATGAATAGGTCCCATTCTGATAGGACCAATCAGGGAGTGCTGCTGAAGCTCACTCTGCATGGTCTTAGTGCCCGATGAACAGCAAAAGCACATGTGAAGCAACCTCGAAAACAGGACTGTCTGACCAAAAAAGGGACTGTTAGGAGAAGTACTCAACATCGCCATCCGGGTCTCCAACAGTTAGATAAGCACAGGCTGGCTAGTGTAATTAGCCATCATAAAGAATGTTGACCTATATTCACAACAAGAACCCAACACATGGACACTTTCACTTCTCATGCAATAGAAGGCTGACCTACACCCCTCAACAAACAAGTAAACAGATTGTCCGATCCTTTATCTATTATTTAACAACCAACATGGGTATTTCTTGGCCTTTCTGCTTATCTGGTGTTGAACGTTCAGTATGACTGCTAACAGTGACTGGTCAAATGGTGACTTTTTGGTTGCGTTTTATAGTGAGTTGACCATATTTTTTTTACCAACAACCACAGCATCACCACTTGTCCAGTGACAAGGAATCTGGTTTGTCAGGGCAGCAGTAAAATTAACAATACAATTTAGATCTTATAACTCCAGTCCTTTATCAAGAAAGGCTTATCTAGACTAATTATAGATACACGGCCAATTATCTTCCAAGACAAAAACCTTAAAGTAAAAAGAAAATTATAAAAGAACTTCCATGTACTAGCTTACCCCTCCATTTCAAGAGTCAAAAAATATTCTTCATAATATAGTCCAGAGGTCATACAACACAAATGTGTCCACAATGGATTGGGAACAGTTACAGACGTTTCACATTTCTTGAGAGGGGACATTTACCAGAAGCATTTACATTGAGCTATAGTTTAGATACAGCAGCAGTGGTCCAAATATCATCCATCTAAACACTCATGCCCACTGCGAATTTTAATCTTACATCTCTCCAACGTGTTTTAAGGTCATACACAGCGGTTATCACCTGTTTTTCTTTTCCTCAGTTCAACACTTTTTATTTATCACCTGAAATGATGGTTGTTTTGTTTAACTAATGAGGTGATAATGAGTGCTGAAAACAAAACTACTGTAAAAGCCTTAAGTCTTAAAGTGAACTTGTCACGTGGGAGACGTTTTCTTTCATTAATAAAATCCCCTCTAATTTGTGTTTTTCTGTTTTTTCTTATCAAAATTCTGTTTTGTTTACAAGTTATACTTAAGCGACTAATTTGAATTAAGTATAACTTTTCCACTGAGGCACAGTATTCTTTCCAGACATTTAGCAAGTTCTCCCACTTACACCGGTCATTAATAACTGATGGTTGGGGAATGCTGACATTTTTTTCATGACGTACACAAGCTAAGTACATGCTAAGACAATGCAGAGTGTGGGACAGGTTGGGACTGAGGAGAGACCTTTGCTATCCACAGTGGAGTAAGTATTGGCTAGTCACATTTATTTTAACTGCACAACTGAGGAATATCTCAGATTTTGTGCCACAGAAAAATTATGCGCAAAAATGAGTGATCATGAAGTTAGTGAACTGTTCCATAAAGCAATTCTACTGCACATCGTCTCACTCAGGAGGCTACATTGTACTCTAGGCAGAGCTCACTGCAGGAACTGATAAACACAGCAACTTCTGGCAGTAACTTTCTAATATTCCAATGCATTTTGTTTTTAAAAGATGTCGCACAGGTTTCTGGATTAACGGAGAGGAAGGTGATTTGAACATGACGCATTTTGCAGTGAGAGGTCTGCCATCTTTCAGTTCACCCCCCTAACGCCCCCCTCCTTGTCCATAACTGCAATCACTGAGAAAACAACGTCTTTTCAACATGCTCCCAAAATATATCTGGTCTTATGAATGGATCTGTTATTTGATTGAAATTACTTTGACCTATGTACTGGGTAAGACTTAATGACTATAATTGTAAGACTTAATAGGACCATATAGTCACCAAAACAACTTTAGCCTAATTAAGCCGTTTTGGTGTATATATCAAACCCCTACGGTCTCACTGCTCAATTCTCTACCATTTAGGAGTTAAATGACTTTTGTTTCTGTTTATGCAGCTCTAGCAACACCTCCCCTGGCTGTGACTGACACAGCCTGCATGAAAACAAAATAGTTTCATTATGAATCAGATGCAACTTACTTTAAAAGTTTTTTTTCTCCTGCTCTGTAAATTGAACTTTACTCAATCTCAGGAGGTTCCTAGAGAGTCTAGCAAGCTATTAATAGAGCAGGAAATAAGAAATTCTAAATTAAACAGAATTTGCAATAACGGAAGTATAAACATTAGATCTCACGTTACAGGAAGTGTTTATGAAGGCTGTGTAAGTCACATGCAGGGAGGTGTGAGTATAGCTGTATAAACAAAGTGAATGGCAGAGAATTGAGCAGTGAGACTGCAGGGGGAAGATCTATAAACCAAAACTGCTTTATTAATCTAAAGTTGTTTTGGTGACTATAGTGTCCCTTTAACGATTGAATCTGGAATACAGAATTCCTTTCTGATAGGATGTTGGTGACATTCTGCGTGTATTTCATACCACAGCCTTTTTTTAAAATTGACAAATACTGCCCCCTGACTATCAGCGGTGGCTTTCTAGAAGGGGTAAACTTAGCTGACATTCTTTATTTAGAGCACATTAATCTTTTTTACAACTTGT